CTTGCAAATAAAATTATTGATAATCTATCTTATTGTATATAAGATTGAATACGCCCTTACCCTCAAGTGCTAGTGTCGAGAGATTATTTAATAAGGCAAAACTTATACTTTCTGATCGTCTCTCTAGACTTGGGGATGATAATATTGAAATGATTTTATTATTAAAATGCAACAAATTACCATAAATATTTATTTTTATTACATAAATTTTTTTATAATCAAAACTAACTATATTTTAATATTTATAAATGTTGATTTTTGTATATTTAATTTACTATATAACATTATAAGCCAAAAATAAAAAATTTGTTTGTAAATTTTTTTTATAAAAAGTAGCTAAAGCTACTTTTAAAAAATAGTAGCTAATAGCGAGCTACTTTTTTTGACAAATAGCGATAGCGGTAGTGGGCTACTTTTAAAAGTAGTTTAACAACTCTGGCAAATATGACCGTTTTCCATTTACCCACGAATTAAAAGAATTATAACATGTTTTACATATGTAATTAGGGGCAAATGGTTTATCCAAATCGCAGAGTGGAATATTGTAATAAATTTCATAAATCCTTTGAATGATTGGAGAAATTGGACATTTTTGTGAGGGCAATATATAGCCCGCATAACAAAATTTAGAGACACACTTTAAACAAGCTCGGCATTAATTTTTTGTAGAATATTATATAAGGAGGGAATTTGAATAATATTTAAAATCCAATTTAAAAAAAAATTAATGAAAGAAATTAAATATTTATGAAAAATTAAGCGCGAAAAAAAATAATTCTTCTCTTTCTTCCTACTTGTTATTTGGTACTACGGGTTCAAGGTACTCCATTGGAAAATCATATATTTTGATATAAATTGATTAAAAAAACAAATATTCTTAAATACAGCTAAAAAAAATAAATTATATTAATAAAAAATATGAAAAAATTACCAATTATTGCAATTTTAAATAAATTTTGCTTCAAAAATTCTCAATTCAAAAAGAGTACAAATTAAAAAATCAGGTACAGATATCTGATTTTGGTATAAATTGATCATAAATGCATAAAATATTACTAAATACAACTAAAAAAGATAAATATTACCTTAATTTTGCTTTAAAAATGTTTTATGCAGAAAAAATTCAATAAAAGTGTACAAATTAAAAAGTTCAAAAATATCTGTACCGACTTTTTTAATTTATAGATTTTGGTTGAATTTTCATGGCATAGAGTACTTTTGAAACATAATTAGAATTAATATATAATCCTGAGCATATTTGAAGCAAAATTATATAAAATTTATCTTCTAAAGTTAATAATTTTGATAGTAATTTAAATTGAAAACTTAAGACCCCCAAAACGAAATTCTTTACCATTTTTCACAAAAACCAATCGATAAAAAATTATAAAGAAATATAAGTTTAACACTATCACCAATTTTCAGGGATTTTTATTCGATACTTTTTAAAATATATCCGTCTAAAGGCCTAAATTTTACCATTTTTGAGATTTCGAAAAGTTGTCTTTATACGGTAATATTTTTAAAACTTGACGTGTAGGGAAAATTTGGAAAACGGATTCGAACTCAGCGTCAAATTGTGCACCAAAACTTGTTTTTATTTTCTTCTCCCATTTTTCTTGTCGCACAGTGTTATTATAGTCATTATTTTTAAATTTTTTTGATGTAAATGGGCTAAAATAAGTATTACTAACAGTTTAGATAAAACTTCATTGAAGATGTACCCTAGATAAATGACAATTGTCATAATCGTTATTTTTAAAGTTTTTTGACGCAAATGGGTAAATAAGATTTTTATGAAAAGAACTTAAAAACCATATGAATATTATTTATAAATATGATACAATCAACATCCTATAAATTTAATCTTAGGATTTTGAATTTTATAAACATATTGTAAAAATAGATTACAATCTATATTTTATAACCCATTTGCGTCAAAAAAATTTAAAAATAAAGAGTATGACAATTGTCACTTTTCCATGCTAAATCTTCATGAAATTTTAATTTAACATGTTTAAATCTGCATTTTTAGCCATTACGTCAAAAAAACTTTAATAATAACGATTTTGATAATTGTCACTTACCGATGGTATATCTTCACTAAATTTTAAATGTTATAAATCTATATTTTTGTCCATTTGGGTCAAAAAAAAACAAAAAACTTTAATAATAACAACTATGACAATTGTCTTGTATCTAGGGAACATCTTCACTGAAGTTTTATTTAAACATGTTAGCACTACTTATTTAACCAATTTTCGTCAAAAAAATTCAAAAAACTTAAAAATAACGATTATGATAATTGTCACTTTTCTATATAGTATATCTTCATAAAATTTTAATTTAACATGTTTACAAGCTATTTTTTTTTACCCATTTGCGTCAAAAAACCTTAAAAATAACGATTATGACAATTGTCATTTTTCTATTTTACATCTTCATGAAATTTTAATTTAACATGTTTATAATCTATAGTTTTAGCCATTTGCGTCAAAAAATTTAAAAATATCTATTATGATAATTTTCACTTATCTATGGTACATCTTCACTAAATTTTTAATTTAACATGTATACAATCTATATTTTTGATCATGTGCGTCAAAAAAATTTAAAAATAACGATCATGAAAATTGCCACTTATCTAGGGTACATAACTGAAGTTTTATTAAAACATGTTAGCAATACTTATTTTAGCCAATTTACCTCAAAACAATTTAAAAATAACAATTATGACAATTGTCACTTATCTAGGGTACATCTTCACTGAAGTTTTATTTAAACATGTTAACAATACTTATTTTACATTTACATCAAAAAAATTTAAAAAATAACGATTATGACAATTCTTTTTTTTATATGGTACATCTTAAAATTTTAATTTAATATGTTAAAAATACATATTAATCTAATATGTTTAAAAATACCAATTATGATAATTGTCATTTTTTCAAGGAACATCTTTATATTATAAATATAAATTATATTTTTATCCTTGTGTCAAAAAATTTCAAAAATCTTAAAAAATAACGAATATGACAATTGTTATATTAAAATAATATCATTAAAAAGATCATATAAAATAACATAAAAAAGTTTAATATAAATATTTTAAAAAAATTATTTAGAAAAAACCACATCTTTTAATACTTAAAAATATAAATAATTTTACAAAAATGATATAAGATTTCACCTAAAAGATTGTTTATTTATAATAAAATTCACAAAAGAATTCCTGAAAAATCTTTTAGAACTAAAAAAATATTTTTTGCTTAAAATTTTGGGCGTGAAAATCACTAATAAATTGTAAAAAAATAATATATTACAATAGCAGCATATCATTTTTTTTTATTAAAAATATCCAGAATAAAAATGTGGTATCTGTGTCTGTATCTAATAGATTTTCGATTAAAATATCGGTATCTAGATATTATTTTAGACGATGTATCTGTATCTAGATCCATTTAAAAAGTATCTTTTAACAACTCTGAAAATATCAAATAAATAAATCTATTTTCATTTCATAATATAATAATTTAAATAAAAAATATTAAATCATATTATGATTATTTGTTGATAATAATAAAATTTAACATTAAATATAAATAAAATAATAAATTATTTTACTAAAAATAAATTTATAAATAATAATTAATGCTAGGTTTATCTTACGGAACGCTGAGGAAGAATAGCCGATGCAGAATTTTCGACTAATTTAGTTTTAGTCGATTTTTAGGCTATGTCTTATTAGGCTTAGGCTTCGTTTTTAGCTGATTACGCAACACTACTAATGAGGTATTACTGTAATTCTTTAATTTTTTTTTCTCTAACATATATTATTATAAAAAAGATGCGTATTCATTATTAATTAGACCTAAACTAATATAATTTAATCAAAATAAGTCTTCTCCATGTCCTTCATCCCAAGATATTCCATAAAAATCGAACTCCATGAAGCAAATGGATTAATTCATTTTATATTCTATACTATTGCATGCTATGATGTTAATGGCTGGCCTATTGTCCCGTAGTCTCGAATTAAAATTATGTTTATGCCTTTTATCGCCTTACGAAAAGGTAATTATCATTTACGGCCTATTTTAATTGAATTTACAAGCTAATTACCATTTTTCAATAATCAATCCAGCATAATACTTTGAGTTTATATAAGTATAAAGGTAAACGATTTTTTTAAAATCTATTAATTAAATATGACATGTAGATATTTTATGCTATTCTATTACACAATTAATATATTTATATAGTTAATAAAGGAGCACATTCTATTATCAATCAAAAGGGTCATATTCTACCCAGACCAAATATGATATGAATGATTATGATATTTTCTATTATAAAATTAAATTTTAGTGGATCAACTTGCCCATAAATATAGACCCTCAATACTTCAGTCTATAAAATAATAGAAACATTATCAGCACCATCAGTTTATAAATTTTTAAAATACTTAGCTTAAAGATTTATTTTTGGGTTTTGGTCTGATAGAAATTGTAAATATCATTATTAGTTTGCAAATTAAGAAAACCAGCAAAAAATATGTTTTGTGACCTTTTTACTAAAATAAATAAAATTTTAAATTTGGGACAAAACAATTAGAATTGAAAAAAATGAGCTATGGTTGACCTTAAAAAAATTAGGCTGATTGGTTAAATTATTTTTTATTAACATATTATGAAATTCAAAATTTATTACAAACCTGTTTATAATTTATTGGCACATATAAATTTATTTATAATTAATGGGTAAAAATTTGTAACTATATATGTTGCATTGTTTAAAATAAAGTTGAAAGAAATTATATTAATATTTTAAATTCTCTCATTTCAAACTTTAAGGGCCATATTGCTCGCCATTTTAGTTTATTTGTCTTTTTGATATTTTTAATATTCGATAGAGTGGACCCAAATCGTTAACGGTTTTTAAATATTTTTCCAAAAGCCCTTTTCCCAATAAAAATATATAAATCAAATGAAAATCACTTGTTTGGAAAGATCATCGTATATAATTAAAGCGTGCCTTCCACTGTCTCTGAAAAATTCTCCCATACTGCACCCACTGTAAGGTGCCAAATATTGAAGCGGGGCAGCGTCAGAGGCAGTAGCACTAACTACTATGGTGTACTTTATAGCCCCTGTAATCCATATAAATGCAATGAATATACAAGATTAAGACATGTATTTTAAATTATTTTGTTCATTATCAACCTTCTGATTATTCTTTCTTAAGTTTGAAGTAAAATGCATGGCCTGATTACTGATATTTTAAAAAAATATCAAATAAGTAGTTTTTAAATTCATTTTTTATATTTATAGGATTATATGAATTTGCTTTAAGTTTAATTTGGACATTATAAATGCCTAACTTTCATAAAGGACTACAAAATAAAAACAACAGTAATTATGATAAAAATTATAATATTTGATATATCAAAGGCAGTTTTACCGGCGTCAGTAAGCCTTTTAACTAGTTGGGCAACCGTGGATCTTTTCTGGCCTATGGCCACGTATATGCAATATAATTTTTTGGACTCATCGCTACCTTCATTAAAACGCTTTTGGTTTATGATAGTATCAATCGCTATGGCAGTTTTGCTTATTATTTTATAATATAAGTAAAGAAATTGTGAGAAAATATTATTGGGAATAAAAAGTATAGTAGTCCTGTGCACCAATGATTTAACACTTCTCTCATTAATCCAAGATTAGCATAAGCCTACATTTCTTTATCCATTCCTATTTTATTTATTTAAATTTTCCCCTTCCTTCATTTTTTAATTCTTATCTTTATTCCTATTTACTATATTTTTGTACCCAGTCTGTCGGTCGCCTATAATAAGCTCCCTCTGACCTCTTCCTATGGGCACCAAGCTGTCCACTGCTTTAATGCCAGTTTGCATAGGTTCTCGGACCGATATTCGAGGGATAATGCCTGGAGCTTTAACTCCAACCCTTATACGTTTTGTCGTAGCTATTGGACCTCGCCCGTCTATTGGGTTGCCTATTATTAATTTTTATGTAGTGTTAGTTTCCTTTATTTATTCCTTTTAATTTTGTTTTACAAAATGTAGCAAATAATATAAATTTGTAAGCACCCGTTTTATGTTTGTTAGTTTCAGGATAAATTTTAACTTTATTTTGCTTTCCAGGCATAATTTAAGGTTGTTACTATATGAGCTATAGTTAGACAATACACAAAAGAAATTTTATCTAGCATTTATATAACCTGAGATAATAGGGGTGAAAAACATAAATATAATCCATATTTAACTCTTTGGATTAGCTATTAATTAAAAAATCGGAATATTAAATTTGATACTCATAACTTAAATTCTGAAAATCATCTTTACATTCCAAGGAAAAATTTCTATACATATTTAGTAAGTAATATGATAGAATCTAGTAAATTCTATATATTATGTAGAGTATTTGATAAATCGTATTGATCACGTGGTTTATATTGCAGTTTTTCGTTCTTTTTCAAATACCAAAAATTAGGTTATTTTTAAAACATCTTATATAATTAAACCCTTTTAGAAAAATAAGATTTGTATAGTATATTTCACTTATATTCTCCCTATAATACATACCTAGAAGTATATTAAACTACGAACTCATTTCTTTAAAAGAAATGCCATAAGAGTTGCATAGCAATATGTAAATATTGTAACCTTAAGCATCCCGAATCCTCTAAAAAGACAGCACGTCAAGATATGTTGAATTTCCTAGTAATTTTGAAGTAGAAATATTAACTTCTTAAAATCAAGGTTATTTATATGTATTTCATTTTGCAGTAAATCAGTGACCCCTTAAATTTTTTCTATAAAATTCTTAAACTTAATATAATCTTTATAATATGTTAAAAAAAACTAATCTGACTTCGTTAAAAAAAAATTAATATTATTTTTTACTACGTTAAGAACATGAGGGAAGCAAATTTAATATTGCTTATTTTTTTAATATATAAAAAGAAAATCATGCGAATGTATTGTGTAATTTTAGGTTTAAAAAAAATAAGCATTGGCGATGCAAATAAAAAAAAGCTTATTAATTTTTTAATAAATAAAAGAGAAAAAAATCTTTTCTTTCTTAAAAGCAATAATTAATGTTTAATGATTGCAATTATATTATTGAAAATTTATTAAGATTACCAGTTGTATAAAAAGTATCTGTATCTATATACTATTTCAAAGGTATCTTTATCTGTTTATAAATACTTTTAAGATACATTTGATATAATTTTATTTATCGCTTTTTTATAAAAAATAAAAATATTTAAGTGCAAATTTTATCTCATATGTATAAGCAGGGATCCAAACCGAACCTGAACTATTAAAAACCGGTATTTTTTATCGAGCCTAAACTATTAAAAAATTTCTTACCGAACAAATCGAACCGCGAAAATGCCTTTAAACCGGTTCGAGCCTCATGATTTTAGGCTTATAAGATTATGTGTAAGTTATTACTAGTGTATCGCAAAAATTTTAATTATATTCGAATTGTTTTAAAGATTATTATCACTCATATTTGATTGATAAGTGTCAGTCATATTTTTATAAACTATAGTATATTGCTATTTACAATATTTTAAGCTTATAAATTATAATGCCTATAGAAAAATTAAATCCAAGATATAAATTATTCACATCTAGTATTATAAATGACACATCAAAATATAATATTACTGATTGTCAAATAAATATGAAAGGCCACTATGGAGCAAATCTTGAGCGTCACATAAAAAGAAACTACCCTCTAGAATTAGATAAAATTAACAAAATATCACAACAAAAGGCTAATAAGATAAAAAAAAGTTATATCTCATCAAGTCAAGACGATAGATAAAGCATTAAAAGAACAGCCAATATCAGTAAATCTAAATAAAAAAATAATCAATGCTTGTACTGAGTTGGTCACTTTTAATGGCAGACCATTCAAGTATCATAGTGAAATTTTACAGCTTTAGAATGGGAAGCAATTATAGGGTTGATGAAAATCCTAAAACAATTAATGTAGCTACCCAAAACTTACAACTTGAGCAGCTAACTTTATGAGATTTTATGGCATATGGCTAAATGCTAAATTTGAAATTTCTTTTACTTCACCCTTTGCTGGTTTAATAATGGATGCTATGAATTTTAGAGAGAAACAACTTTTAAACAACAATGCCTTTTTGTTCATGCCTATATCTATATTTAAGGTATGTTTTAAAAACATTATATTATATCTTATATAAATAAATTTAATTAATAATTTTATTTTATATAATTTTCTATCTATTCATAAAAAATAATAAGATTTTTTAAATATTTTAATTTTTATTATATAGATATCAATGCTTCTGACTGAAGAAGTAAAAACCAGGCTAGAGACATATTATTAATATATGGCATACCATGAAATTAAACTTTGTTATAAGAGTAGATCTAGTGAATATGAATCAACGCCGGTTAATATATCTTCATCTGAAGAGGATTTAGTAGAAAGTTTAAAAAAAAAGATGGTAACAAACAAAATCTGTTAAAAAATTGGAGAAATCAGAGTAATTGATACCCAGAATTATGTAAATTGTCTGATATCTTACTGGCAATGTCGGCTACCCAAGTTAGTGTGGAAAGATGTTTCAACGATTAAATTTATACTATCTCCTTATAGATATAATTTGAGTGAGACGAATCTTTAAAATATATTAATTATGCGGCTTAATAAAAAAAGGTAAATAATGTTAAATATTTTTCATATTAAATTTACTCATTGATATTTATTTGTTATATTTATAAATTAAATATTTTTTTATAATGAAGGTTTTATTATGTATGTATTTTTTATTTTAATGATGAAATAAAAAAAATGTTCTTCCCTATACAAATTCAAATATAGGTTTGAATACAAAAGTGTTCAAACCGTTTTTAAAAGTTCGAAACGTACCAATATTTTTATTTTTTACCGAACGAACTGTTATTTTAATCCGAACAGATATTCGTTTCGGTTTGGATCCCTGTATATGAGCTTATAATTTATATGAATATATATTATAAAAATTTAAGACTAAAATATATATAATATTAAAACTTTTATATAAAAGATATAAATATTATTTTCCCATTTATATCTATAGATATCAGTTAAAGATTGTTAAGGATATTTTTATCATGCAAAGAAATTTATAAATCCTTGCTTAGCCGACCATTAATTATAAACAATACTATTGATGAATATTATTTTAAGCAAATAAATTTATTTAGAATTTTGTAAAATAATTTAGTGGATATTCCGCTTTTTTTAAATTTAAAATCTATTTTTGATTTTGATTGAAAAAAACTTATTAAAAAATTTAAAATCTAGTAATAACTTTTATAATTCAGTACTTGATCATTTTACTCAACAACAAAAACGAATTTTACTTATTTATTTATTTTAATTTTTCTATGGTTTGACTAAATAAAAATAAAAAAATTTACCGATTGCTACCCTAGTAGTAAACTCGACGCTTCACTGCAGTAAATATTTTAGAACCATGATTTTAATTTAAAAAATTCTGAAGTTATGAAAAAGTTTCGAATTTCAATTTATAAATCAAATTGTTCATAATTTGATGTTTTCGAGTGGAAATGGTATATTGGAAAGTTAAAATTTATGTATCCATAACCTAAAAGAGACTTTATCTAGACAATAATATAAAGTAAATTTTTAATCGGCCTTCTGTCTGTAGCTGCTACATGCACAACATCATAAAATGGTCACCTTTTGGAAAAGTGATTCTATGAGCTGGAATAGTTGAATAAAGACAAAATTCATAAATTATTGAAGCATCAATATTAATAGAAATTCATATTTTTTTAATATTAATTTTCTTACCAATTAGTGATCTGCACCAGGCATAAATTTTCAAGCCTGACCCTGCCCAATTTTTTTTAAAAAATTTGTCCAGCCCAACCCAATCTTGAACAAACTTTTATAAGTTCCAAAAAGGCTGACCCAAGATAAAAATTATTTGTCAGCTAAGCTCAAATTTATTTAAATATAAAAAAAAATTTTTAATTGTAAAAAAATATACTACAAATAAAAAATATCGGCACCTTGTTTCTTGAAAAATTTTTAAAATATATCAATTTATTTCACAAAATCGAATATTATATTTAAAAATTTAAGCGTGGCTCAAGCTAAACTTAATTTTTTTAAAATATTAGGCCCAACCCAAAATTCCTCTACTACCAATCGTTGTTAACTAAAATTTTGTAATAAACAAAATAAACGAGTTATAAAAATTGTATTTCCAGTAAAATGTTGATAGATTTATATTTTCCATATAAATAAACGTAAGGACATTTAAAAAAATTGGGCCAAGCCAGACTTTGCATAACTACCAATTACATTGATATCTAATTTTTTTTCAATGAACTCAATTTAGTAACATGAACGAATTATAAAATGATTGTAATAATAATTTCCAACAAAAAAATTGGTAGATTAGATTTATATTAAATATCATGTAACTGAAAAGTAGAATAATCAAAATTCAGTTTTAAATAATTAGTTTAGTTTTTAAATCAGTTTGTTCAGTTTTTAATTCATATTTTCACTGTTTCAAATAAAATAATTTTTTAGTTTTTGTTAGATTTTACCAAATGTAGTGGGTTTGGTGTCTAATAAAATAAATTAGTATTTTGACTCATCTAATATAAACACTAATATCCTTGTTGCATAGTCACTAATGTGATTTGCAAGTTGGATATCAGATTTTTACCTGAACTGTATGGCTCAAGGAAAAGCTAATAAAAACTTATTGTCTGTTTCACCAAGTATCTATTAGATTTTACCAAATGTAAGGAATTTGATGTCTAAAAATAACTGAACATTTATTTAAAAAACTATGAAAATAATTATAAAACCTGTAAAATTATATTTAAAAAACAATGCATATAATTTTTCCCATTTACATTTTCCATGGAAATTGTATTAGTAATATAATCATATAAACAAACAAAATGGCAACTACTCTTTAATAAATAACAATAAGAGCTCTGTAAGAATTTTTAAAAAGGTAAGATTATAAAATATCCACCCAGCATGACATGTAAAAATTTGTGTCAAATAAAAAATCACAAATTTACATTATTGAAGGTTAAATAAATTATTCATACAGGCTGGGCCCAATATTTTAATATGGTGTGTCTAGGATTGGAAAATATTCAGGAATTATCATTGTAGTAACTCTTCAATGTGAATTTTGGGAATAAACAGGAATTAATGATATTGAATTGTAATCAACAATTTTCAATTTTTATTATATTAAAGTAATAAAGCAAAAAATAATATAAGAATATATTAAATGTTTAGTAAAATACATTGTGAAAACTTGATTAAATATATTTGTTAAGGAAACAAAAACTATTAAATGTGATCCAAGAATATCCTGAATGAATATCCAAGTTAATCATAATTATTTATGTGAAAAATGAGGATTTATCCTTTTTAGTGTAATTAAATCATACCTAAGTCAAAGACTTTTGTGGGTCTAATTTTTGATCAAACCTGGCCCAGGCCCACAGTTAAAAAATATTAGGCTCAGGTCTGGCCCAAATTTAATATTTAAAGATTTCCCAAGCCAATATCCAAAAATTTAATTTCCTGGCCCACAAATAGTGCTGACCAATATATAAGTAATCTATTGGAAAAGTTGTATTGTCAAATAAAATACAATTGTTATTAGGCTTAGGAAACAAAAATGTTTAAATGTGAGCCATGTAAATATTTTAAATGAATGCATCCAAGCTATTCATGAGTATTTATGAGAAGGATATAACTTTTCCAAAAATTTTCAGGTTAACAACTCTAGGTATGTATGGGCCAACAGATTTATGATTAATTTAAAATTAAGTTAATTAGCACTTTAGAAATATTTAAAAATTTACCATGTATAAAATTTTTATAAAACAAATAGGAAAATTTTTAACCTAAAGCATCAACTACCCTCCCTAACAAGGCTTCACCAACTGGTACATCAACAATAGCCCCAGTTCTTTTGACAATATCTCCTTCTTTGATAAGCTTATCATTTCCAAATACAACTACCCCAACATTATCTGGTTCTAAATTGAGAGCCATGCCCTTTTTTGTAGTTTGATAAGAAATATTTATAACAATATAGTACCTATATAAAAAAATTTACATGTCAACGCGACAAAAAAAATATATTTAAATATAAATTGAAAAATAATTAAATATATTAGTCAGCTCACTTTAAGTCCAGAGGAAAATTCAACCATCTCTTCTGCTTGAATATTTTTTAATCCATAAACACGTGCAATTCCATCACCTATCGATAAAACTTGACCCGTCTCTTCTAAATTAATCTTAGATGTGTGACTTAAAATGCGCTCTTCGAGTATACTAGAAACTTCAGCTAATTATTTTAAATAATCCATGTAAATTGAATTTAATAAAATTTTACCTCCTGAAATAGATGTGGCATAGTTTAATTTACTGGTAAATAAATTCCGATTAGATACAATGGGCTAGATTTCTAAATATGAAACTATAAAATCAGCTTAATTATACTTTATATATATCTCTATGCGCTTTAAAAATAAAAGAAGTGAGGAAACGTGTTGAGGCCATATTGTGTACTACTAATATCCCTTAAAATGTTTGTCATGAAAGTCATATGTTTATAATTTCTTATATTATGACTTAAATCTGAGATCTATAATAATACTCTTTTATACATTTATATAGTAATTAACTAACACTAAGTTATATATATTTTTCTTGAAGTTATTGAACATTTATTTAATTTATACTAGGAACAAAAAAGATCATAATATCGTCTTATCACATATTATTCTTTTTCACCTATTATACCATGCCTACTTACCCTTCTTCCCTCCACTAAATTCCCTCTTTTGGGTTTTCTGGATTTATAAAGCTGACCATAAATTTATATGCCCTCATCTTCGAAACTCCATTGTTTCGTTTACCGTCACCCCTTCTAATCTTTAAAACTATTAAATAATATTTCCCAATATCCTTATTTCATTCATTTGCCACCCTTACCTTAACAACGTTAGATTTTATTTCTAAGACAATACATCCCCAAGAAAGTTCACAAAGGAGTTGGCTAATCATCTGACGAAATCAATAAATTGATCTTACCCAGTGTATACGTGACTGGAGTGGATATGAGACTATCTCCAAATTATATTTGCATTTTGTGGAGTAGGTAGATTTTTGGGGTAGATACTTTTTTAAGGGGGTGGAAATTAATTTTTGGGGGGTTGGTATTGATTTTTGGTGGATAGTTTTTGACTTAAATTATATTCTTTTAAAATTCAATAATTGATACTATTATCATGTTTATCGTTAATTTTATTCTGACAAATGTCAATTAAAAGTAGATATGTCTACACATAGGCGTAGCCAGGATTTTCCTAAGGAGGGAGAATTTAAAAATTACTGGGAGCTTCGCCCCCAGACCCCATTTTGGGCAGGCCTTCGGCCGGGTTACCTTTGTCTATATAGTCAAAAAATATTTTTACAAGATAGTAGGTTAATTTTAATAAAAAAATAAGCCTGGAACAAATATGAAATATATTTTTATTAGTTTATATAAAATATAATAAATTAATTGTATATACATTAATATAAAAGCATGGTAATAGTTTATTCCAAACAAGTATAAGAATTTTATTTATAAAAAGTTAGTTGACATATATAGTTAATATTCCTCTATTATATAGAATTAGTTATAAAATACAAGGTAAAATTCCATTTTTACAGACATACAGTTAATATTTTAACAAATTTTACTAATCAAGGCTCATGATAATAAATATAGAAACAATTTGCATTCAATTATTTAACGCAATCTATGTATTTTAAATAGAAAATGATATTAAAAATTAATATCCATATTATTCATCCCACAATGTCTTTAAAAGATATTTTCTGATTCCCTTATCAATAATATTTTATAGTTTTCTATAAAATATATAATTCGCTATATTGGTAAAATTACTTGATTTTCATATGATAATTGATAAAATTAGATATATACTGTAAATCTACGACATAATATTTGACTGTTTGTATTGTGCTTTAATTTTTTATTTAATTTTATCAATAGTTTTATAATTATATTTTACATTTTAAATAAATTAAAATTACTCACTTTATAAAAAATTATATTTTATATATAAAATTATATTAATGTTTAATAATATAAAAATGAACATTGAAAACTTATTATATAAATAAATTATTCAATACGCGATTAAAATTATATAAAATAAATTCTAATCATCATGTGAGATGAGGCTGCCAATGAAGCTGATGTAATTGGCCCTGTGAATTGCTATTGCGAGTCTTTGTCTTAAGAAGAAGCCTTCACGAGGTTCATCTGTTAGTTTGCGGATTAGCGATCCAAGTTCCTTGAAGAAAGAAATAGCACGATTCCCAAAGGGAGTCAAGGTAATGGAAATGATGGGAATGAATAAATGATCTTGGGATATCTCTGAATATTTTGCAATTTTTAGAAGCTCCTTGTTCTCCAGAATGTTAAGGGATTGATTGGAAGGAGCCAATGGATCAATACAAGAGTAATCTCAGACCAAGAATTGACCTCGCTTCCAGGGAATTTGAGAGATCCCGTCAGGGCGTTTTCCAACAGACCTGAAAAGACGAGAGGATTCGAGGATAGAAGGAATTTGAGCTCTAAGAATTATAGAATTGCAAATGTTATGTCTAACGATGCGGCCTTTACATGAACGACAATGTAGACTATGCCTTCCATTACTCAAAACAGCAGAACTGCAGCCGGCACAGATGTGGGGTTGGGTTACTAAGCAATTTAAACGGATGTTTATAGCATGAGTTTGCCCATTTTAGGTCAATTGTAATTGTAAGTTCGCGGATGGAATGGCTTCGAGAAACTCATGTCCAGAATCATTAAGCAGAGAGTAGAATAAGGGACGGTCCAATGATTGCATACTGGAAAGGAGAGATTCGACGCAGCTTGCAATAATGGGCTTATCCCAGTCCTTCTGCTTGTTCGTTTCTGGAATTGGGTGGTCGGCAATGAATCGAGATTTCCATTCAATGATGGCACTATCAAAGGAAGGGTCAGAATTTAAGGAATTAGGAATGACTAAATTTTTGGTTAAAAGACAGCTCGATATAAAGGCAGTTAAGGCAAGATCGTAAGGGGATCTGATGCCTAGTCCTCCCATCTTGGTAGGAAGGGTGGCTTGTGTCCACGCTAATTCATGGAATTTTAGATTAAGGATACTTTCAATTAGGACTTTAATCCCATTTTCATAAATGCCTAAGGAAGTGGGAAATTTAAAAATAGGGGTAGAGCGAAGCGCGTGAAGAATTTTTGGGATATTGAAGAAATTTTTCAGGAGAAAAAAGGCTTTATGAGAGGGGAGAAGGGAAAATAGGTCAGCCAACTCATTAAGGGTTTCGAGTGTAGATTGTAGGAAGGATAATATGGCTGTGTGTCCACCAACGAGAGCACCTAAGTGAGATAATTTCTCCAGAGTAATCTGTTTGAAATTATGAAAATTATGGATCTATTATTAATAATTAAGTAGAAAGCCCGTCAAAAATGACGGGGAATGAGATTTTTATTCATTCTTTACGATAGATGTCATGCCAGGTTCAAACTCACAATATTAGGAAGCATCCAAGATCTTATAATTTAAAAAAAGTTTATCAAGCCCAAATTAACCCTTGATAATTTGTAAAAGATATTCCCAAGTCAGGTGCAAAGCTAATATTAATTTTAAGGTTCCAAGCCCAGTCCTACCCAATATAATTTTGAAAATTTTTTCCGCCTCGAGATAGTTAAATTTTTAATATCATCACATGAACGGGAAATATCTGATTTACCAATTAGTCTAATATGGAAAAAAAACATGTAAATTCCGTATTAAGGGAAACTGGGAGGCCTGGGCAACCACTTATTAGAGAATCATGACAAATAAAATAAAAATAACAGACTCTTATAATTTTTTGTAATATGATCAATTAAAATTATATCTAAAAAATAAATTGTTGTTTATTATTTAGGGTTATTGTTGTTTTTAAGATAAATTTAATGTATGTCTTGCATTTCTGAAATTATTTGTTAAAGAATTTGATAAGGGATATATATATTTTTATGTTATGTAAAAAAACAATGCTATCTATTTAAATTACAAAAATGGCATTAAACACTAATGAAACTTATATGCAAATTATTTATATATTTTTTAAGATATTTTTTAATGACATATAAATTTAGGATAATTTTTTTAAAAAATAATGAGGATTAATTATTATGTATTTGATAAAATTAAGAGCAAATCCTTGTTAACATTTTAATTTTTGATGGAAAAAGAGACAAAATTGTAATGGAAACAATTAGCCTCAAAGGCAATTAAATATATGATGAATTTAAATATATATATTATTAATTGTGTACGACGATTAATTGTTTGTTTTGTAAAATATATATATACTGCGGTACAAAAGGTAAAAAGTTGTTAAATTTATAATAAAAATTGATTTAATCACAAAAATAAATCTGGGCGGTCGTCTGGAGAGGAAATAATTAATGTATAATTTTATATCATTTAGATTTGTAGATGAAAGTAATGACGGATTAACAAAGCAGTGTACAAAACACATTACGTCCTGATAAAGATGATATGCCTATGCCTTGGTATACTGGTAAAAGAAAAACGCAAAACGATATTTCTGTCAATGTCAGCATTGGTATCCCCCTCTAAAATAGAATCATGAACGACAATGTTAACTCAACTATAAAACGGTCGTAAGTATTGTTATAAAGGCCACGACAGAACTACTGCATATATTTTTATTAATAAAGTTGATGAAATTGGCCTAACTGTACATTCAAGTTTGAACACGCAAAACGATATTTCTGTCAATGTCAGCATTGGTATACCCTTCTAAAATAGAATCATGAACGACAATGTTAACTCAACCATAAAACGATCGTAAGTATTGTTTTAAAGGCCCCTACAGAACTACTGCATATTTTTCCATTAATAAAGTTGATGAAATTGGCCGTACTGTACATTCAAGTTTGAACATTCCTCTAAATATTCATGAAAGTTTCTCAGAGAATTGGATAAAGTAATATTTATATTAACTCCTAGTGAAGTGAATGATAGTACAGAATTAAATGTTTATATTTGTTGAAAAATAGGCGGAAGCATAGGGATTGTGGTTGTCGTGATAGTATAATTTGGAGAACTGGGTTAAAATAAAATAAACATAGATATAAAACATAAGATAAAAAAAACAAAAAAACCTCCAGATGAGTTCATTTCAAGCGTAGTTCTTTATTATTTTGTCTACCATATTTTCTTTGCTTATCTTTAATAGATTCATCATGTTTTGTAGCAATGTGAGGGATTAGGGTTAGCCTAGACAAATAAAGAAATCAGGCAAAAATATAAATAATCTATTGTTGAAATTAAACAAACATTCAAATAATGTAAAACCGGTAGATGGGTCAATATTAGATGCATATTTCTAGTAGTTGGAGGGCTATCATCAAAAAATTTTTTGGGGGACTTATCAAGCCTATTATGATATTCTAAAAGTTAAAAAATAACATGATGAATGTAATGTTATTAAGATTAAGGTTAATTAATTGTAAGGTAATTAAAAAATAAGATTAAAAAAAGGGGGGAAAAAGAAGGTATAAATTATTATATTATAAAAATAATAAAAATTAAATTAAAGGAATTGATAAGGTTTGGCTATCATCAAAAAAATTTTTTGGGGGACTTATCAAGCCTATTTCTAAAAGTTAAAAAATAACATGATGAATGTATGTAATGTTACAAAGATTAAGGTTAGTAAGGTAATTAAAAAATAAGATTAAAAAAGGGGGGAAAAAAGAAGGTATAAATTATTATATTATAAAAATAATAAAAATTAAATTAAAGGAATTGATAAGGTAAATTGTAATGTAAGTACTGACTAAAATTGTGAGTATGTTCAAAATAAATATACAAGTTGAGTATCTTGTAGAGATTTCATTAATGTGTAATTGATAATATGAGATGAAAATTGATATGGTAAACTAAAAAATAAAGAAAGGATTAAGTGAAATAAAAAGTTTCATATTTACAAAGTCGAGGGAATATTGTTTTTATCAATTCAAAGACGATTTTTAAAATCTCTCAATCCATGTCAGGTATGTGTACACCATCAATTCTCGAAATTCCATTCATTCATTTGTTTGTAAAAATAATTAAATAAAATCAACAAATAAAAAAAATAAAAATTACCGATGACATGTCGTCGCGATGACACGACATAGCTATGACATGACGTCACGATGACGTAGTGAAGATATCGGAAAATTATAATATAGATAATTCATTTCACTTTTGTCTTAAGATTATCTTTGGCTTATATTCTATTTCTTATAAAACATTTTTGGTTCACTTTTTTTATATATAAATGCTTTTCCCCAAAAATATATAAATTATGATAAATAGTTTTATAAAAAAATATCAACTTTTACATTCTTTCTTTCAAATTATTGTTTAAGATATATGCCTACATTTTTGGGGGTCAGGGAGTGAGAGGAGGACTAAGGGGGTATTTTATAATTAGCTTAAAATGATATTCACAAAAAATGATAAATTTCTGAAAGGGGGGGGGACTACACCTATGTGTCTACAAATAATAAAAAACAATAAATTTTTCTTTTTGAATTTTAAGCATTTTTATTAATTTTTTTATCATAATATTTTACAATTTCACACGTAAAATATTAATATTTATTTGTTAATTTTATAAAAGTATAGAGGTTGAAGGAAACAAGTTATTTTTTGAGTTTTAAATTAATTTTATTTCTACTTTTAAAAAATCAAATAATAAAAATAATATGTATAACAATCAACTGGTATATATAATAAAACATTTCAATAGATATTCAAATTAATACTCAATTAACATTAAAATAAATTATTTCAACTGATCACAAATTTAAATTAACATTACAATAAATTATGTTAATTGAACACAATTAACATTCCCCTCTTCGACAAAGTATCAAGTTGCTGCTGTGAGCGCATAAGTCTATGTTTGAGTCGCGTGAGTCCATACGTTTTCGTAGGTTTGATAAAATTGTGGTACGTCATCATTATCATAAGGAATAATTGATCAAATTTGAATATATGGAATACGGAATAAAATTTTAAATTTGGAAAAAAAGAATTTGGAATAAAAATTTTGGAATATGGAATGATAAATAGGTAGAATTCCGTAAGAATGATAAATCAAAAAGATTATTATATAATATTTTGCGATTTGGAATAAAAATTTTGGAATATGGAATGATAAATATGTAGAATTCCGTAAGAATGATAAATCAAAAAAGATTATTATATAATATTTCGCGTTTTTTCAAATTTTGCGTTTTATATATTTTATTTTAATAATTTAAGTTGCCTTTTAATATTTTATTTTAATAATTTAAGTTGCGTTTTAATATTTTATTTTAATAATTTAAGTTGCGTTTTAATATTTTATTTTAATAATTTAAGTTATAAAATCTTTTAAATAAGAAGGTTTTTGTTTAATTCTTGATGGTCTGAAAGGTATCTTACTATTTTTACTTATATCTACGCTTCCCTCTTTACAAGAATTCTTAGGGTCACTTTCATAATATTTAAATCTATTATAACTTTCCTTTTTTCGTAACTGGAATATATGTCTCCTTACTACACCTTTATCCGTATTAACTTGGAACATGGTGTCACTCTCTTTGTGCGTAATGTTGCATTGCACCACGTGTCATCACTCTGTTTCTTGTACCAAACGAAGTCTCCTATATTAAATGTTCGATTTCTCGGTAGCGATATGTTGACTTTATCAATTTTATCCTCCAATGGTTTCAATAAGTCCCACTTTATTCTAATATCGCGGTTAAATACTCTTTTGGATGGTGTGACACCTGTAGTATCATTCGGTGTATTTCTGTAGTTAAACAAGAATCTGTCCATTGCAGTTTCTAAGTCAATTTTAATGTTTCTTTTCATGTGAGCTTTGAATGTTCTCACCATACGTTCAGCTTGTCCATTAGATTGCTTATGGTAGGCGGATGTTAGTACATGTTTTATTCCATAGTTACTACAAAATATCTCAAAGTCTTTGCTTGTAAAGTTGGTACCGTTATCTGTAACAATGGTTTCAGATAATAAATTTCTTTCAACGTGAATTCAGTCGTGATGTTTTTTACAGGAACTATAATTGGAAATTTACTATAGGCATCGACTTATTAACCAATTTTTTGTAAAAAATGGACCCGCATAGTCTACGTGAATCCTTTCAAAAGGTTTAGTCGCCAATACCCATGGATTTTGTATTTTCTTTGGATTGTTGAAAAATATTACAATCGTCGCAACTTCTAACTTCCAAATCAATGTCGTTGACCATACCAGACCACCACATGCGATCTTTGGCTAAGGATTTAATTTTTCCTGCTCCCATGTGACCTTCATGTAATGCCTTTAATATGTTCTTTCTCAGACTTGTTGGAATTATTATTTTGTTGCTTTTGTACAGACAATTTTTAATAATACTAAGTTCATATTCAATATTTTCATAAGTTTTGTTTTTAATAGGCACATTATTTCTTATATCGTTAATAACTTGAGATAATTCAAAATCTTTGGACGTTTCATCACGTATTCGGTCAAAACTAAGAGGTATATCGCCAAAGTCATTTATAATTGCGATATCATCAATAACGTCATCATCAATTACTTGTGGTAATCTTGAGAGGCAATCAGGAACAACATTGTATTTACCAGCTTTATATCTGATGTTAAAGTCGTAACCCCCCAAAATTATATTCCACTTCTGTAATCTTATGGTGGTACTATTATCTTTGAGCCCTTTGGTGAAAATATGGATTAACGGCTTGTGGTCCGTTACAATAGTGAACTTAGTCCCTATCAATTCAATTATTCTTGAAATCTCTTGATAGCAAACATAATGGCCAGAGCTTCACGCTCAATATTGGTATAATTTATCTCGGACTTTGCTAAAGTTCTCGACGCAAAAGCTATTGGTTTTTCTTTGCCATCTTTTTCGGTGTGAAACAAAACAGCTCTTAAACCTCTTTTAGATGCATCAGTCGCAATTCCGATAGGTAATTCAGGATTAAAGTACGTCAAAGCTGGAGGAAGACTAATCAACGTCTTAAGATTATCAAAACTTTTGGGGTGTTCTAAATTCCACTCCCATTTTTCCTTGTTGACAATCTTGTATAAAGGATCAGCTATTTCAGCAAAGTTGTTCAAAAATTTTCTGTAGTAGCCCGCCATACCCAGAAACGTTGACAATTCAGCAGCTGATTTTGGTTCCGGCATTCTAACGATCGCCTCGATCTTTCATGGTTGGCGTGGATCCCATTGGCGTCGATATCGTGTCCTAAGAACCTCAGACCTTTTTTGAAGAATAAGCTTCTTGCAAAATTAGGCACTAAGCCATAAGATAATATTCTTTCAAAAACTCTTTTTATGTTGTTAAAATGAGCTTCTCACTACTTCCCTTTATTAATAGGTTATCGATATAAAAGATGACATCTTTCATGTCACCGAAAATTTGATCCATAATCTGTTGAAAAACTGCAGAAGAAGTCTTTAATCCAAAAGGAAGTCTAGTAAACCGGTAGTATTCCCTGTGTGTAGATATGGTTAATATGTTTCTGCAGTTTATGTCGATGGGCATTTGTAAGAACGCGTCTTTGAAATCGATCTTGCTGAATTTCTTCCCCTCCTTGAGCTTAGCTATACGATCGTTTATTCTTGGAAGTGGGTATCTGAAATCTTCAAGAGAAGGATTAACAGTGTCTTTGAAATCGGCGCAAACCCTAACGCTCCCATTTTCTTTGTAGACAGCGGTTATAGGACCTGCCCATCGAACATCCGTCACCGGCTCAATGCTTCCTCGTCTATCCATCTCATAAGTTCTTTAGTTACAGCATCTATTTTTGAATAAGGTATACGCCTTGGTGGTATTATCTTAGGTTTGGCATCATTTCGTAAATGTATCATGACTTTAACTTTGTTGATTGGTTTAGTAGTCAGTTTAAATTCACAATCTTTTATTAATTTATTTATTCCATCTTCATAATTGATATCGATGTTTGCTATAAACTTGTTCAAAATATTACTAAAGGCGCATTGATCCACATTCGTCCCAATAATGCATTTTTATTAGACTTTACAATCACTGCTTGCAAGTGTTTGGCGATACCATCGTAGCTTACTTTAACTTGAGTTACGCCGATAATTTCAATTAAGTTTCCATCATAGAGAGTTGTAGAGTGGAGTTTTTAAGATCTTTAATACCTATTTGTTTAGCCATTTCATGAGGTATTATCGTAAATTTAGATCCCGTATCGACTTGCATAGTAACGGTAACATCATTTACTTTTAAAGAAGTCATAAATGCATTGTCATTAAGTTTATGCTCGGTTAAATTGTTGACATTAAAATCACTATCATTATTATTTTGTATAGC